ATTGTTCTTCATTTTAAAACTCAATCTATCTTCTTCACACTTCCACCAATAACTGGAATCCACTTCCCCACAGTGACTTTCAAATACCTGAAGACAGGAGTTGGGTTGAGTTTCCACCAAGTCTTCTCAAGGCTGAGCTGCTCCTTATATAACCTAGGATGGTGGTTTGAATGGGAAGTATATCTCATAGATTGGTCCCCAGTTCATGGTGCTGTTTGAGGAGAGGAGGGTCATGGAATTTTTAGGAAGTACAGCCTTGCTGGAGGAAGCCCATCACCGGGAGCAGGATTTTCGAGTTCTTAGCCTTGTCCCATTTCCAGTCACGTTCTCACTGCTTCCTGTACATGCTTGAAGATGTGAGTACTCAGCTTTCTGCTCTGGCCACCTCTGTTGCCATGTCTCCTTGCCATGGTGTACCTTTGGGACCATTAGCCCAAATAAACCTATAAGTTGCCTTGGTCATGGTGTTTTATCACAGGAACAGAAATATAACCAACACAGAACTTGATAACAGAAGTGGGGTGTTGTGACAGATCTGATCGTGTTGTTTCGAGGATTGTGGAAGTGTTTGGAGCTTTGAACTAGAAAAGCCATTGAGTACTTAGAGCTTAATGGGCTGTCTGTGGAAGCCTAGAAGATAACACTGAGAAAAATGTAGACGATGGAGGCCTGGCTCATGAAGTTTCAAAGGGAAGTTTCAGAGTCCCATAAAGACTCTATCTGGGCCATTCATGTAATGATTTGAATTGAGAATCTGTGGTTTCTGGTTGGCTAGAGCTGAAGAATCAGCTTTGATTAATGAGAGGCAAGCATCGTCGAGGTGATATTTTCTGGAAAATATTTCCCCAGGGTCAGCACACAGAAATTATGGTCCATTGTGGCCAAGGCTGCATCTCAAGATGGTGGCTGAATTTGGTAATATGTAAGAGTTGCCCACGTGGTACTAGTTTTGAAGGCATGAAGGGGTCATGGACAGCAACTGAGGCTTGGCACCATTTAGCAGGGTTAGACTCCCTGCAGAGAGGCCTGGAGGCCATTGGTGAAGGTGCAGCTCAGATGCAGTAGAGACCTCTGCATACTGGAGATGACAGGAACGTGGGATGACCACCAAGCAGTGACAGGTATGGAGTGGAGTCATCTTGAGACTATGAGGCAAGCTGTATGTGCAATGGATAACAGTATCAGAGAAGTGAAGCTGCCCAAGCCCCTTAGAGCCTAGAAGGTCATGAGTGAACATTATTTGTCAGATACTGAGCTTCATTGCGGGACTTTGGTTTTGCTTAAGTGTGCCCAGTTCTTCCCATTTGAAATAGGAAAGTAAGTGTTTTTTTTATTTTACAAGAGCACACAGTAAAGAGATTTTGGATTTTAAAAGAAACATTGAACTTTTAAAGTGTTTGAATTTTTAAAGGCTGTGGGACTTTAAAAGCTGTACTGTACTTTATATTATATTAATGTAAGAGCTGTGAAAAAACACGGAAAGATTATGGCTTAAAGTGGTGTTTTGTGTGTCTAGTTGACAAGGGGTCAATTGTGCTGGTTAGTTTTTTTGTCAACTTGACACAAACTAGAGTCACCTGGGAAGAGGGTACGTCAGTTGAGGAATTCCCTCCATCAAATTAGCCTGTGGCCATGTTTGTGAGGCATTTTCTTTTTTTCTCTTTTAATAGTTAAAGTTTTATTTTATGTGTATGAATGTTTTGCCTGTGTGTATGTTAAATGCACCATGCATTTGATGCCCCATGGAGACTAGAAGAGGATGTCAGATCCCCTGGAACTAGAGTTAGGGATGGTTGTTAGCTGCCATTTGGCTGCTGGGAACTGTAGCCAGGTTCTTTGCAAGAGCAGGCAGTGCTCTTAACTACTGAGAAATCTCTCCAACCCCTGTGAGGCATTTTCTTAATTGTGGATTGATGTGGACAGTGCCATCCATCCCTGGACAAGTGGGCCTAGGTCATATAAGAAAGATAGCTGAGCAAGCCCTGGGGGGCTGGGGTGGGGGGAAGCAAGTCAGTAAGCAGCATTCCTCCATGGTCTCTGCTTTAGTTCCCATCTCCAGGTTCCTGCTTTGAGTTCCTGCTCTGGCTTCCTTCAATGATGGACGTCATTGTCATCTGAAATAAACTCCTTCCTCCCCAAGTTGCTTTTGGTCAGAGTGGTTTATCACAATACTAGAGAAGTAAACTAGAACACTTGGTTCCCATATCAGTCCCATCCAGGCCTCCCTCCTATGTGTCAGAGAATAAGACTCCACTGGCTTTGCACAGGGAAGTGACCATTCACTCCTTGAGCTAGGTGTTACCACCTGATCATTAATGAAGCTGAAGATGTCCCTTTCCCAGGGTGTCTGTATGTATGTGCACACGCACCCACATTATTGCACATCTGTACACTCAATAGTGAATTAAACAGCTCACTTCCTGAAGCTCTAGTTTTCCTGCCTTATAACAAGGAAACAATACCTTTGCTGTAATAATTGATTGAGATTAAGGAAATGAAAAATATTAAAAGTGCCACACCAGGGGTTTTGCTTCCTAAGGTTTGTTCAGTTTAGATGCTGGCCAGGCATTGGGCCCATAGAGCCAGACAATTGGGCCTGAATCCCAGCTTTGTCTTACCTACCGGCTGTGTGACTTTGGGGGAATGACCTCACATAACTGTGCTGCATTTTCTCCTCTGTGGAGTAAACAGAGTTACAATCCCAGAATGCATTTCCATGAGCAATACATGGATGCCTCTCACTCAATACAGGCTGGTTGTTTGGAACTATTCCCCTTTCTCCTATTTATAAGGAGAAAAAGGCCTAAATTGAGGCTACTTCATTGCACTTTGTTTGAAAGTGAAGGCATCAAAACAAAGTGGTCCTGTTTTTGGAGAACGCTGCTCCACGGTAACCCCCCATATTTCTAAGTAACAATTTTTAAAAATTACATTTACTTGTGTACATGAGTATGTACATATGCATGTAGAAGTCAGAGGACAACTTGCAGGAGTTCATTCTCTCCTTCTACCACATGGGTCCTAGGGATTAAACTCAGCTTGCAAGGCTTGGCAACAAATGCCTGTACCCAGTGGGCCATGTTGCCAGCAAGCAATGATAAGGCACTATGCTAAAGGCTTCCTGGGCCCCACCTTGCCTCCTTCTCCCAGTAGCTCAGTGTACCCAGTTACTCCTGATTAGGAATGGATGTTCAGACCACCTAAGTAACTCACAACTATAAAGTGACAGAGCTGGGACTCAAACCCAAGTCCCTCTGAATCCAAAAGCCCACCCCAGTCACTAGTGTCTTGTTCTCTTAGGCAGCTCCCCAGCTGAGACTCAACTCTGGCTCTGAGGAGAGCAGAAGCCTAGAGCATGGCTTCTATGTTAGAAAGTGCAGCTGCTGAGGCAGAAGGGCAGCTCTGCTTCTCTTACCCAGCAATGCACGTGTCCACTTCAGGGTTCTGAAGGTGTCACTGTGTATCCCAGTTGCATCCTCTGAGGTCCCCTTAGGATACTCCTGGCATCCGATATCCCTGGGCTGTTTGCTACATTCTCCATCCCATAAATATGGTTTCATATTTATGTAAGGAAAAAAAAACTAAACTAAAAACAGCCATTCTGGATGTGGGCCCTGATGCGTAATGTCATTAGGGAGGCAGCAGTGCATCCCATCCCATTATCGCCTGGCCAAGCTTCTCTGAGCAGCCTGGCTGCAAATGGCTTTCTCCTGTCGGGGGGTGGAGGGGGGCAGCTCTTATCTACCCTCCAGTTGGAGGAGAGATTTTATCTTTAATTGACAACTGGCTGTCTGCCACCATCCTGCCTCTGCTGCTGGCCCAAGCTCGGGGCTGGTTTTCCATGCCACATCAGGAACAGGCTTCCCCTTGCTTATTCCCTCCCCAGGGCCCTGCAGTCCTCGCCCTGCCATTCTGTGCTGCCCTAGACAGATCCGGGTGTGTTCTTGTCTTTTCCTAGTGTGACTGGATGTGGAGATATCAGAAATCTGCAGAGAGAGAGCCTGAGCTGCAGACAAGGGCGAGGAGCGAGCTAGCACTGTAGATCTGTCTCCTGCGTGTTGTATACAGACACCTGACCCTGAGCCAGGCTCTCATTGCCTCCACAATAGGTCCTATTCTTTTATAGGCACAGAAACAGGTTTGAGGAATCCCCCCCCCACAAGTTAGTAAGTGGCAGATCAAGACAAAATAGAGGCACTTATGACTTAGTTTATGCTTAGACAGAGGGAGGATTAAGAGAGAAAGAAGACAACCTGGCTATGTGATTTACAGAGCCCAGTGTTAAAAATGAAACAACAGATCTCCCCAACAATTATCAATTCCACCACCAGGGACAGTTGAGTCCTGAACCCAGTACGGGGGCCCTTCTTAGCGACTGCAAGGAGTTGGGAGTGTATATCCATAAAGCCAGCCTTGTGTATACTCCTATGTGAAAGGAGTGAGGATCACCAGTAGTACCTGACTAGCACTTTCTATTTCCCCATCCCATGTGGCCCAGGTGTGTTCATTTTCCATCCTCAAGAGGCCCCTGGTCGTGCCACCAGTTCTGAGTCGGCCTCAGTCCATCAGCCATGCAGTCATCGCAACAGCTGGCCTCCCTAGGGTCTTGGCCCACTTAGAACTGGTGCAGCTTTGGGGTGAGGGAGGCCCTCCCGCACAAACAAGCAGGCACACGGTGGACTTCCCTAAACAAGGAAGACTTCTTCCATGTTATGGGGTTCAGATGGCAGCAGCGGGGATCAGGATACTGCCTGGAGGTGGGGGTTCAGGGTGATCCTCTTTGTTGTCTTGGACAGATCACTTTTGTCAATCTATTCACTGCTAGCTGTGAATGCGGGGGTTGGGCCACATTAAGGGGACCAGATGGGCATATGATCAGGCTTGGGTGTGCTTGCATTTCTCAGACGCAGGTGGTAGCTTGGTCAAAGTTCAGGGAGTTCCCCACAGACCCACAGGCAGAAAAAAGAGGCGAGGAAGATGATCACACAGAGGAACAGCAGGACACTCTGATGTCTTTATTGGTGCTCGAGCACAGCATGACAGTTGAGGACATGCAGACAGGGCAGCAGGCCCGGCCTAGGCGCCTCAGACACAGACAAGGGGACAGCTTTAGAAAAGGACTGACCAACACCAGAGGGGGGTGGCAGGGAGGGAAGAGAGTAGGTAGGGAGGGCTGAGGGAGGGGCAGAGGCCAAGGCTGAAGGGGTCACCTGGCCTCCACTATTGCACGCGTCCTCTGGCCACTGGCCAGGAAGTACAGTATTGCAACTTGTCTCCTCTCGCCCATGGCATCCCCTTCTCAGACCCCTGAGCCAAATGGGCAAACAGACCCCCTTCCCTGCCCGTCTGCCCAGCAGCATCTTCAAAAACAAATGGATGAAGGAGACACACACAGAAGATCAAAAATGAAAAGGACAAAATGACCCCCTCTGTCAAGGACATAGATAGGAGTGCTGGAAGGAGTGACAGAGGCTGCAGAAGAGCCCCTGAAAGTCCCCCACAAACTGGGGTGAGGTGGGAGGTAGAACCCCAATCTGGGGTGGGGTTGGGCTAGTGAAGCAGTGACCCTGGAGGACAGTCTTGCCTTCAATAGACTTCAACAGGCCACCTGCTGGCAGGGGAAACACCCCTGAGAGAGAGTAGCTGGGGACTGCCCAACTGGAGGGGCAGATCCCAGGTATACTTTTCCTGGAACATTCCACACATATAGTCAGAAGATACAATCCGTGAAGAGGGGAGGGGAGGAGAAACAGGTTGGGGAAAGGGCTTGGGAGACATAGCCTAACAGAGAAGACAGACCACCAGTAGCACGTGCACTACACAGAAGAGTATAGTATGTATGAATATAGATACTATATGTGCATATATGTCTCTTCAATGTACAGTAGAACAGAATATTAGACCCAGATGGCTCTGGGCACCGAGGGTCACATGGGAGATTTCTCCACCAGTCCTGTGCAAACATGGATATCAGTCTTTCCCAGCAAAAGATTCGTGCCTGGGTTCCAGAGTTTCCCTAAGCCTCTGGCTTTCTGTCTGTCTGCCTGTCTCTCTCACGTTGGTGCCGCTTTAAGAGAGGGTGAGGACTTCAGCGTGGGCATAGTTGGACAAGAGGGCGTCTTGGCAGGTCTCTGTGTTTAAAGAGCACAGGTGTGAGACACTGGGACGCACGCTTTCGGTTCAACATTGCCTTCTGGGGGGCAAAGAGTTCAGCAAAAGAAAGGGAAAAACAAAGAGTGAGATATTAGAAGGAAGCCAGCTGTTGACCCACAGGCTGTGGGCTAAGGAACGGGCTGAGAGCAGAGCTGGAAGGCACAGGGAGCCTAGGGCTAAGAGGCAAGGAAGAATTGGGGTGGGACAGGGAGTGGGACCAGCCTTTTATCTCCTCTCTGCCAACCCACCTCCAGGCTAAGGGGACCCAGGTGATACTGCAGCTCAGGTAACCAGTTCCAGGAACTACTACCTCTTAGCTCTTCAGAGTTCTAATGCAGCAGAAAAAGGGACTACAGCTAACTCTATACAGTCTATCAGAGGGGCAGTGGGGAAAACTCCTAGGGTAGACTGTTGCTCATCACTCCAGCTGTTCCCTACTCAATTTGTGCTCTCCATCAAATAGCTCTATCTGTCCTTACCACCATGGACTATCCCTCTGCCCTAAGAAGCCAGTGAAGAAGGCTCTAGTCTAGACTGTGGAGCCATGTTATATTCAGCACCTGACCTTAGTGTGACAGGAAGAGTCCTGGCAGATGGAGGGGCACACAGCCAGGAGAGCAGGCTGGTACACAGTATCTTATGGAGAAACCCAAGCCCTCAGAGAGCCCTTATATAATGGCACCACACCCTCAGCTTGAGATGTCTGAAGCTTGAGTCTTTTCTTTCCCAGTTTCCCAGTAGCAACACTGGCCAGACAGCTTAGGAAGACTGGGCCAATAGCGTGGTGGGAGATTTGGCCCCTTCAGGTCAACTCCTGAAGCTATTGGGTTTTCTGTTCAAGATAATGGGGTTTGCCATCCAGGCCTCACAGCCTGTACTCTGGGGTTCCTTGTCATGTCAAAGGAAGTATTTTTTTCTGATATGCATGCGCTTATCTGAGAGTGACCTGTTTCCATCTTCTTAAAGCTGTGACCCCAACCATCTCCTTAAATACTGCCCCTTAGCCATGCAATGTTTTGGGCCTCTGAGAACTAATCTAAGAGGAAACCACAGAAGCCTAAGGCTCTTCATAGCCCCATTTCTGAGAACAAAACAGAGCTACTGTTTGCCCTGTATTCCTAAAACTGACCTGTCTGTGAACCTTTAGCAATAGCCAGTCATTGGTTTCCACTCACTAGGGAAAAGGGAATGGCTCTAAGCTCCCTATAGGCCACTAGATGCTAAGATGTGCTGGGGAGAGAATGGTCTTGGGAGGCTTTGTCAAAGGCTTCCATGGACTCTCCATCCTTGGGAGCCTCTGAGAGTTGGGAAGGTTCTTCCTAGAATTCTCATTCTGGAATATACCTAGATGACACACCAAGGATAGAGCAGGGGCTTCAGAAGGAGACTGGCAGGGCAGGGAGGTCCTGCTCTCTCAGGCACTCTCTGAAGGGCAGTCCTGGCCCATAGGTGCTTCTCAGAGCCTCTGCCAGTACTCAGCATCTCCTCTGCTTCCTGTTGGCCTAGATGTAGGCTGAACAATCCCCTTCCCTCTAGTGGCACCTCACAGCCACTTGTCTCAGGGAACTTGGATGTGAAGCTACATCTGGGGTTGTTAGCAGTCCTGGTACAGACAGGAAGGCCAGGAATTCTTACTTGCTTTTTAGGAAGGGGCAGTACCCAGCTATAGGACCAGGTTTCTAAAACCCAAAGCAACAGGTACAGCTTCTGGGTGGGAGGGACCATTCTCCTAAGGAAGGATGTCTAAGGTCTGGATGGGCCTAAGGCTTATGCAGGCAGCTGTATCTTGGATCAGAGACCGGTGTATATGGAGCCTCTGTAAATGGTGGATTCAGGGCCCCGAGCAGACTCAAAGGTCTCCTAAAGAGATACCTGGTTGGGGGGGCAGTGGAATATACCACTCGTCTAGCTCTCCCATCAGATGCCCATCCCTCTCCTATGAAGCCAGGAGGTGTGGGCGGTGGAGTATTAGGAGCCCATTCCCACAAGGCTCTAGGGGCTTCAGCCTGGCACTGCTGCACTGTGTCGCCCAGGGACATCTGTACCCCCTACAGGGGTGTTGTGAGTGTGCCCATCCCCGTAGGAGGGAAGAGGGGAGGAGGCGGTGGGTGCCGTGGAAACTTGGGCTCCTGACAACTTGAGGGCTGTCACAGAAATAGCTGCCTCAGCTCCCCGAACCAGAACAGCAAGTCAGAGAAAATAGCTGTGGTACCCATGTTAAACTGGACACCTGGCTCATCATGTCTCTGTCAGACCCAAGTCTCCTGGTGCCAGAAGCCCTGCTGGGTGGGGCTGAACCTTCCATGAGTAAGCTGAGCTCAGACTCAGCTGAGGGGAGGGGTCACCACATCTCCCTGCCCCACAGGCTTCCTCATCCTGCCATTTTCCTATATCCTTTCATTTCAGCTCTCACAAGTCACTTCATTTTAAGAGCAAGTGGCAGACAGGCCTATAGAGCACAGTAGAGCTGGATGCCCCAGGACCTGCTCTGAACAGATCTTTCCAGAAGTCATGGAATGTTTGCTCAGTGCTGACAGATGCTCCTACCACAGGCTTTCTGCACCTTAGAACAATTTGATCTTTCTACCTGGGCCACTTTTTGGACTGTCCCCAAGATTTCCCATCAGGTCCCTAAAGCTGTCTTGCCAGTCTCTTTACCACCATGTAGGGAGCAGATATGGACCTTCCTTAGTCACTCCCTTTCAAAGTTGCATAATCTGACTCTAAAAATTGCCAGGTGCTGTCAGGTCGAATTCTCATCAGGTGAAACAGAAAATGTCTTTCTGAGGCCTTAGTTCCTCAGTCTTGGGATGAGGAAGGGGTTTATGGGGGTAGGTGGAGCGAGTGGCAGGAGTGGGCATCCCTGGGAGTGGCTGGTCCAGGTGTGGACATGATGGCTTTCTGTCTCCTTACTTCCCCTCGGCTGCCCTTTCGCAAGGTGTACCCCTGCTTGCCCAATGACTCACAAACCTGTTGTGCTCCTGGGCTCGTTAGGTAAATGAATACACTTAATTATAGAAATTAGATGAGTCTCTGGTTCTGGCAGGAATACAGAGCAGAGTGGGAGTGGCAGGTGACTCAGAGGCAGGGCTAGGAATCTGAGGGAGCAGGAGAGGGAGCAAACTGTCGCGGAAGCAGAGAAGGCAGTTTGGATAGAGATGCTGCAGCATGGGGTACAGATGGGATGCTGGGCGGGCCACTGGGTGTCACCCCTTGAATCTGGGCACAGGCCTTGGGGAGGAGGGCCTCCCTGAGCCTAGGCATCCTGCCCAGGGTTTGCACCAAGCCTGGCGCTTAGACTCTAGGAACCACCACCTGCGTCCTAGGCTACAGCTGGAAAACACCAGGTCCCTGCTCGCAGGGCAGCTCTGACCACAGGCACTGCTATTCCAGGGAGTCAAATCTCTTCTACAACAGCAGAGATACCCCATGTGACAGCCTTGTTATCTGCTGGTACCTCTGGATGGACAGACAGACAGACAGATAGGTTGTTGGGCTACTGATTAAAGGTCACAAGGAATGCAAATGAAATTGCTATGGTTAAAAACATGAATATAGGCATGCCTCATCGAGAAGGCTGTTTGGTCCCTGAGGCACCACGTACTACCCCCTGGCTTGTGGGACCCTGAGCTGGAGACAGAGCCCAAATACACAGGTTCTGAGCATGCCAGCACCTATGGCCCAGGAGACTGGGTAAGAGAGTGGAGCTCTGTGAATAGTCTTCCCTTGCATTCAGTTCCATGGCTGAACATTGGGGGAGCCAGGTGCAGGTTCAGGGGCTTGGATTCTCCATCCTGACTGCAGTTCCCTTCTGTTCTTTCAAGCCTGAAGAGGCATAGGGGCTGCGATGGCATGTTGAGTGTGCCTGCCTGGATGTGTGTCCCAGTACCCAGAGCTGAGGAAGGCCATGGGTGTACCTAAGGACCTGTGTGGCCAGGTGGAGGAGGGCTAGTGAGGGGGTGGAAAGGATGTGAGAGCAAGAGCTTTCTTGGAGGGTAAGGTGAGCTGTACCGCGATGCCAGTGGAGACAGCCCCAGACCGGTTCCAGCCGCTCCGGCTATGTTGTTTAGACTCCGGGACTTTTCACAGCCTTGGTGAAGAAAAGGCACATGGGTCAGAGGGGTGTGGCTCCTCTCCATGGCAGCTTCATGGAATCCATGCTACTTCAGGAGACTGCAGGATGGGTGGCCCTGGGCTGGGATAAAGGCATCTCTCCTACTGGGAGAGACTTCTTAACTCTGCCTGGCCTGTTTCCTGGACTCCTGAGGGCAGGCTCTAGGGCCCACACCCAGCTGACCTGTGTCCTATCCTATTCTCAGGTCTAGGTTCCCCTCCAGCTCCTTGGTAGCTCAGGACCTACCTTCTCTACTCTAAGAAGCCACAGTGAGTACCTGCCGCCCTCCTCCTGGGGCACTGACATTCTGACACATGGGCAGCTACAGGTCAGTTTAGTAGCTGGAGCAGGCCTGAACTCACCTTCTCCTGGTCCTAGGTGTAACTGAGTACAGTATGGCGTGGGGAAAGTTGTCAAGTATTCACTGGGAGTGTGGTGATGTTAATTGCCACATTTGCTTAACAGGGCCTGTTTCCCAGCAACCCACCTGTTTCCTCTCGAAGGTCACTCTAATTGGCTGAGCTGCATTCTTGTTGCCAAGAAGCAGTGTGGAGGCATCTTGAAAATAGAGCAGACAGGCCCCACAGGCACCCCAGAAAGGCAGGGTAGTGGGCCGCAGACTTCTCTACTTGATGCACGTACATCAAGGTGCAGATGCTCCCAAGGCCTTTTAACTTGCACCCTCACAGTCTCTTCCACAGCTCTAAGTCCACTACACCTCATAGCACAGGGAGGGAAGCAGGAGTGCTTATCCCTTAGCTCTGTCTGCTCAAGTCCTCCACAGGGGTAAGGGAACACATTTTATGCTGTTGCTTAGCAGGCTTCAGCCTGAGCAAGGCTCTGGGCATGAAAGAGGATGCAGTGGGACCACTGCACGCTTGGGGTGGGAAGCAGGAGAGAAGGACATGTCCAGACCCTGAGGATTTGGGCACAAGAGTGACAGATGAAGATATATGAGCTCTGAGCACTTTCTACCTACACCCATTTGGCTGGGGCTTCTGGGCCATCTTCTTCCAGGTGCCAGACTACTGTTCCTGTTGCTGCTACTCAGTAAGACATATGGCCGGCAAATCTGGGTGTCCACTTTTCTTGGTCTTGCAGAATCAGGGTGGCCTAGGAATCACATAGGAAAGCACCCCAGGAGTCTGCCTGGCTTGGGAAGCCAGGGGACAATTTTAGGGACCAAAAGCATCACAGGCTATTTGTGTAGCAGCCACTGTCCTTGTCTCATTCAAATAAGCCTTAGTCTGGAGTTTGTTTGGGACAGTGGGACACCTGAATAGTTAAACAGCGGTCAGAGAACTTGATAATCTTTGTTTAGGGAGAGGTACAGTCTATCCTGGAAATAGGCAGGATGTTTGGAGAGGTTAAGTCACAGGGACAGGCAAGGACAAATGTAATCAGAAACAGGGAGGAATAAGTTTTGGTAACGAGACCCCTGGTTCTTAGCCACCACTGGCATTTGTTACCCCTAACTGCTTCTGCTTCCCTTTCCCCTTTAAGGTCTGAATCCCTAGCTCCACAGCTCAACTTCTGCCCTGTCCCTGTCATGGGTTAGAGGCCTGGTAATGGAATTCCAGCCTTCCTCAACAGGAAGGAAAGACCCTCTCTGTCCACCTACAGTTCTGCTCCAGGATTGTCACCTCCCCAGGAGCTTACAGATATGGGTCAGTCTACCCTGGGCTCCAGGCTGCCAGTGAAGGATTGGAGAGACAGGGCCTGTACTGGCTCTCTGAACCTGGGGCCAGGCATCTCTGAGACTGCTTCCTTGGGGAAGCCTTGGGAGTGGCTGGATATGACCCTATGAGCTAGGCCTGAAGACAGAGCAGGACCAGGGCAGGGAAGGGAATAAAATGTTCCCTCATCCTAGCATTACTCTTCCCTGTGGGTACCTTCAGGGGAGAGGCTCCACAGACTCTTAGGGGATGCTAGAGGCCTTTCTAATCCAGATGCTGATAGTTCAGGTTACCCATTCTAAAATCGGGGGCGTATCCAAGGCAGAGGAGATGGTGGCCATGGGCTCAGTGGAGGGGGAGATTTCAAGCTCTGTGGGGAGGGCTGGGGAGACTCAGCTCTCTGGGGGCTCCCCACCTGCCCAGCCCGGGGAGCCATACCTTTCCGGACACTGCCATCGGCACAGGCATAGTCCCCAGCACTGAGCAGGAAGCAGGCAGCTGCCTTCTTGTTTCTGTCTCGTGTGCCTGAGCGTCTCAGGGCCCGACGCTCCTCTGGGGTAGGGGCAGAGGCCAAGGGCTGGGTGAGGCCAGCTCCCTCCTCATCGGAGAGCACCGCATTAGCATCACCATTCTGCTTAGAGTCTAGAGGGGACAGAGAAAAAGGAGGCTGAGATGGTTGCTGGCACCTTCCTGAGGGAGTCACCTGGGGTCTCTCAGATCCCAGAATCTAGGGAGCTAGGCAGAGGCTGAGGCAGGATGTCTGTGCTTAGTCTGAAGGCTTTTCTCTCAGTCTAGGAAGGCCTAGAGCCTTCCCTTGGGGACTGGAGCATAGTACAGATACTCTATAGCAGGACTTCCCAAATGGGCCTGCTGAGGATGCCCCATGGGATCAGTCCAGGCAGGCACAGACTGTTTCTTCCTTGGGACTGGCTCAGGTTGGCTCTTGGATGAGTATGCATTCCTCAGAGAATGCCTGGATGGTAGGGATGATGGGTGGCATCATGAGTGCCAGATGTACTCAGTGCTGTCTCCAGTTTTCTCCCTGAACCACTAAAGGCAGTAATTTTGTTTGTCAGGCGCCCAAGCCAGTGCTAAAGGACTTGGGGCCCTCCCTTGCAGGGCTCTCTTGTGTCTGGGAAGACACTATAGAGATGAGGCTCTAATTCATCCCTCTTCTGTGGGGACACCTTGCTTCTGTCAGGCAGCAGAATAGCTGACACTGGCTCCCAGATGTGTGTTTGGTGGGCATACCTGGTCTGAAGACAGTGGCTCTGACACTGGCCATGCAAACCCTCAGGGTGTCCGGGTAGGATAATAGCCTCAGTACCATGTACTACCATGCCTGCCTAAGGCCCTCTGCATTTGAACCTAAGGATCTTCTTTGAGTCCCGAATGGGCCTCAAAGCACAGCTGAGATTCCTGGCAGGGATCAGGAAGGGGTACCATTCTGATGGAGAACAGAAGGAAGTCTGAGGGGTGCTAGTCTATTGTGTCATTATCAAGGAAGATCCAGGCCTCTGATGATCCTGGAGAACAAGTGGCCCTACCATGTGTGATGAGCACATGCAAGAGGCCATGCACAGGTAAGTGTCCCAACTCAGGCACCTCCCTTGAGGACTAATTTCACTTCATTCTCATTCTTAACTAGGAGCTACTGTCTCAGTGCCCCAGCCCAGCCCAGCCCAGTCCCAGTGGCCTGACATCCAGTAGCTCTCCAGACCAGGTCTCCCACCATCCCTGAGAGCCATGCCCATTGAATCAGATGGTACTTTTCCCGTCCTCTGCCCTAGCCATACAATGCTGGGAACTGAACTGATTTTCTTCTAGTGTTTCCTGGCCCAGAGCAGGTGAGCTTTCTTGAATGGCCCTTCCATGGAGAGAAGGGCAGAATTTGATGCCCAGGTCTGCCCCTTCCAGGATGCAGACACCAGCTTCTCCCATTTTCTCCCTTTCCCAAGACCCTGGACCACTTCCTCCTTGGTTCCCTTCTATCTATGTCAAACTCTGAATCCAGGACTCACTCTAGCTTGCACTGAACAGAAGGCAGCCTCCCACTGCTGTTACGTTATCACATCTATTAGGCCAAGAGACACCAGACGTGAACATTGGGAAAGAAGTGACTCACATGTTGATGCACCTTGGAGGAACAGCTGCCCCACTCTCTGGCTAATCATGCCAGTGCCAGCATTGGAAAATTGGTTCTGACTTCTCAAAGTGCTACATATCCACCACTCATTTGGGTCTCATCAGAATCTTGAGGATAAGGTATTGATATGTCATTCCCATTGATATGTTATGCCCAGAGGGGAAGAGATTGACCTCAGGGGATGCAACACAGGACCCAAGAAGGGACTAGAAACCAGGACTTCTAACATACAGTCCGTCCCAGGCACTGCCATGAGCCTACATGGTAGGGAAAACTCACACCATAAACCCTGATGCTCATCAAGCTCATTAAACCGGAGGACAGACAGTTGGTCACAATATTTTCCCCCTTAAGAGGCACATCTTGTACACAGTGAAGCTGGCACAATATAGCATGGCCCCAAATCTCTCTCAAGGGCTGAGGTTCCCTAGGGATCTCCCTTGGCCAGTGAAGAAAAGGGATCCCCTGCTTATGCCTTACTCACCTGCCCGTTTCCTTTCAACCATACCCTCTTCCCGGGCAGGGGGGCTGGTATCACTGTAGGTGCTGTCCCGGGGCGATGTCTCCTCGGACTTGCAGTAAATGGGTGACTCAAGCTGGGCTGGCCGTGGTACATGCTTCTTTCGCTTCTTGGGCAGCTTCTGCTTGGCCATAGCTAGGGAGTAGTACATGCCGAAGTTGTTGACAATGACAGGCACAGGCATGGCAATGGTCAGCACACCAGCCAGCGCACATAGTGCCCCCACCAGCATCCCTGACCATGTCTTAGGGTACATGTCCCCATAGCCGAGTGTCGTCATGGTGACCACAGCCCACCAGAAGCCAATGGGGATGTTCTTGAAGTCAGTGTGATCATTGCCCCGTGGGTCTGATGGCCTGGCTCCGATGCGCTCGGCATAGTAGATCATGGTGGCGAAGATGAGCACGCCCAGGGCCAGGAAGATGATAAGCAGCAGGAACTCATTGGTGCTGGCACGAAGCGTGTGGCCCAGGACACGCAGCCCCACGAAGTGGCGTGTGAGCTTGAAGATCCGCAGGATGCGCACGAAGCGCACCACACGCAGGAAACCCAACACATCTCGGGCTGCCTTGGATGACAGGCCACTCAGTCCCACCTCAAGGTAGAAGGGCAGGATGGCCACAAAGTCGATGATGTTGAGCAGGTTCTTGACAAAGTCCAGGGTATCGGGGCAGCACACAATGCGGACCAGGAACTCCAGAGTGAACCATAGCACACACACACCCTCAATGTAGGTCAGAATGGGCTCTGTTTCTACTTCCCGCCGGAAGCGCACGCTGGTGATATTCCCTACACGGTGGATCTCTGTCACATTACGGTCAATGTTAAAGGCCTCGTGGGTCTCCAGGCAGAAGGTGGTGATGGAGACCAGGATGAAGAAGAGAGAGGCAAAGGCTACCACCTGTAGATCAGGAGAATAGGGAGTGGCCATCAAGACAGCAATAATTGATCTCATTGGGGACAGGGATCTCTGCTCATAAAACATGGGTATACAAGTGTCAGTGCTGGTCAAGATGTGTGGTTAAGGTAGAGTCAGGAGAGGATCGGTGTCCTAGGGCAATGCTTCCTAATCTTTACCAGCATGCCCAGAATACAGAGACTGCTCTTGACTGGAACTAAAGTCAGGGTATCATAACTACCTGGCTACCACAGCTCTCCCCATTCATGCTTTAAGGCTTCTCAAATTTTGATGGGTAGACAAACCAGCAAAATCTCTCCCAATGTGGTTGACTCAAGAGGTTTAGGTTTAGAGTTAAGGGTCTCTAATCCCGCTTTTCTTACAAGCTCCCAGGTGAGGTGTGGTCTACACACCACAGCTGGAGTAAACAAGTTCTAGAAATGAGGGCCTAGACTGGAAGCATCAGGCACCTGGAAACAGGTTAGAAATGCAAATCTGGGCTTTACCCAAACCTATTGGATGAGAAATGCCAAGGGGACACAACCCAACAATATACTTTAGTAACCTTCCAGGTAATCCTGATATACACTCAAGGTAGTGGTCTGTTGCTTTAAGGGATGTCCAGAGGCAAGGACTGTCAAAGAATAATCTCTTCCAGTTCACCATACTAAGATGACCCCTCTCCATGACCCACCTAGGTGTCTCTACCCACTGCCTAGACCCAGCCACTCCCTAGAGAGAAAATACAGGAAGACACAGCATGGGCTATGACAGGAGACAGGGAGGCCTGCTCAGAACAATTCATTATTACTCTTCCTGCAAACCTGATGCTTCCTGGTACAGTGAGCCCCAAAGTGAAATGAACTGTACCCATTAGGATCAGAGTGGTGGTGGTTGATCCAATAGCTATGGGACCTTAGTTAGAATGAGGACAGCAGTACTTGGCAGATGAATGGCCAAGCTAAGTGTCCAGTCATTATGAATGGAGATGAAAGCCATGTGTAACAACATCAGTTACAGAGCCTTCATCTGTTATTCACGCTGTGCCTTTCAGCACTGTCAGGGCACCCATTGCCAGAGGCCAGCCTCTCATTCCTGCTGCTATTGGTCCTGCTTGCTGAATGTGGCTGGGCTTCCACTCTGGGCAAAGGATTGCACCTACACAGGTAGGTTAGGGAGGTCCAGAGCCATACAACATGTGGCAACCCCATGCCACCTGCTTGCTTCTACCTGGCCTTGCCCCTATCCGGTGAGCACTCAGATCTGCCTGCCTGAGCTTTTCCTCCTAGAATACCTACACTGGAAGAAAGAAGCAACTTGTTCTTATCCCTGCAAAATACCAATAGAAAACATAGGGGGTCTGGAAAAAACAGGCAAGAAACTGTGCCCCAGGGCCTCTGGAATAGAGGAAAGTCATATGAAGGAACTTTGGGCACAAAACTCACAGGTTGTCTATTCTGTTCCTAGCACTGTTAGGTACCCTGTAAGTGCACTGCCTTCGATCATCCTGGTTTTCTGGAAGGCAAACCTCAAACCCATTTTAAACAGGAGGAACTGAGGATCAGAGAGGTTACATGCCTACCTCAGGTCACACTGCCTAGAAGGGTAAGAACTAGGTGTGAATCAATAATCATATAATCTGTATACTCCCTTCATACCACAATCTTTACTACTCCTTAGGCAGTCACTTCCCAAGCCCAGGAAACCAGACTCTGATAACTGAGCCTGTCCTTCCAGTTCCCTGTGCCTGTTCCTTCACTTGAGGATACGTACCTTTGCTCAGGACAGATTCATCACACCATATGATGCTACTTCCCTTACAATTAAGCTTGGATGGATTGGTCAGAAAGAACAATATAGGAGCAGGTTGGGAAGAAAGAGCACAAACACTTTCCTAACTACAGCTTTGCCTAGAGCACCTCCCTGCCTACTTCTCCCTGGGAAGGTAGATTTCAAGTGCCTTTGATCACCTCACTTTTATTCCCCTGAGATAAGGGGCTGCCAAGACAACACAGACTGACTGGGCATAGGTAAGTGGCTCCAGCCTGCAGGCCATCAGGGATGAGCTGGTAAGACCACCCGCCTGTGACCATGCTGATGTTGGGAAGCTAGGCTTCTGGCTTCACCCTGTGCTCCAAGAAGCAGAAGGAACAGGAGTGAGGAGAAGGGACAGCATGTCCCAGTTTTGCCAGGAGGCATGGAAGCCCAAGCACTCTCTGAGGGACCGTTAGCAGACTCTGCCCACCTGGGAGCCTGAGTGTGAGGTTAATTAGTGATGTGGAAAAACAAGTTCAGGAAGAGCTGCCAAGGGGTTGAGCACAGGGAGCAGAGGCAGAGAAGTGGTGCGCTGCCCCAGTCACTGTTTCGGCTGCCTGCCTCTGCTGCCACCACCCCAGACAGGCCCAGACCACCCTCTGGGGGAGGAAACAACTGGACTTCTGTTGTCTTCACTGTTTGGTTTTTCTTTTTTAAAAAAAACATTGAACTGCTGGGTGTGGCGGCACCCACTTTTAATCCCAGGATTTGGGAGGCAGTGGCAGGTGGATCTCTGTGAGTTCAAGGCCAGTCTGGTCTACATAGTGAGTCCCAGGACAGCTGGGGCTACAGGGAGACCCTGTCTCAAAAAGACCGAAAAAAAGAAAAAAAAGACAAACCATTGAACTGTCTCACATATTACCATAAGGTTACAGGTTCCCCTTTAGGGCCTACAGTGACTTAGTGTTTCTCTTCTCTACATTACTCCCAAATGAGTGTTCCTAAGTGGTTGACCTGGATAACTAGTGCTTTTCCCTAGGTCTCATCCTGGAGGAAGGGATACTGTTTTGTTTCCCACAAGGCCTTTGACTGAGGACTTTCCAGGACAAAAAGGAACCCAGGAGAAAGTAGCTGTAGCAATGGCATCCGTAAGGGGTCCCAGCGTGTGCTGGAGCCTCAGCCCCCATGGGCAGTTCTATAGGGTTGGCAGTTGAACCTGGGCCTCCCTCTCCTCAGGCAGACATTGCCTGCCTGAGGGCAAAGCAGAGCTAAAGAGCCCAGGGCTGGTAGCACCAGCTGGGATAGGTGTCTCCTTGGGTCAATCAGGCAAGTGGTACTTTCTATGCTGTTGTTCCATCTTTGTAGGCTGGGCTAGTACAAGTACCCACCCCATAGTGTCACTGCAGAATAAGTGAGCTTCAACACAGCAAATGCCTAGTATCTGGTAAGTATTGCATAAAATGGTGACCAAACTAAGGCTTGGGGAGTCTTCGAGTGACCCCTACATCTAAAAGCAACAGAGCATAGAATCCTTGGGGGTTTGTACAGGTCAAGTCCTTCTTTTCCAGATAAAGCAACTTGAGGGCCAGGAGAAGTGGCTTGTCCTGATTTCTATGGCTGAAGCTGTCTGCTTTCTCCCTGGCATGAGGACACGGGCTGTGGATTCTACTGGAAATCAAAACTGCCCAACCAGAAAAACCACTGGTGTGAAGTAGCTCTGCCCCTCTCCTGCTGCCTGAGGAGGCAGTGGGGCCTCAGCACCCTGGACAGGAGGCTCCAGCCTGTCAGACCAGCACTGCTTTCAGCTCCTGGCTCCAGTGAGGCCCCTCACACATATGCTGGCCACTTATGGTCTGCAAGGGACTTGTCCATCTCTGAAGGCCCAGTTAAAACTATCAGCCCAATTATCAGCTTTTCCTACCCTTCTACTGTCCTTGAACAAATGAAAGGTCACACACTTCTGGGTTCAAGGTGGGTTTCTTTACTTACAAAACAGAAACCAGAGCATCTATTATGTGCCTCCATGCTGGGAACAGCAGAAGAAACCCACACTCCTGCTTCTTGAACTTCAAATCTTAGTGAAAGGAAACTGCTCACAATTAAACAAGTAGATTATACATCATGTCCAATGACATGAGTGTTAATGGTGAAAAACAGAAAAAGGAGACGTGGATTATAAGGTAGGAGAACAAATTCAAATGGGATAGTCAGGTCAGACCACCATGACAAGGTGGCATCTGAATAGAGACCTAAAGAACTAAGGGAGTAACAGGAGAAGCTGAGTTCCAGAGGCAGCAGGAAGAGGCAGTGCAAAGGCCCTGAGGCCACAGTGTTAGAGGAGGGTGAGAACAGAACCTACTTTATAGGGCTGTTTTAAGAACTAAAAGAAATAACATTTGTGAAACTCAGCAGAGAGCCTGGAGTGTCTGGAATCTGGCACAGGCTGGGTGAGGGGCAAGGTGACAGACACCAATCAAGGGAACCCAAATACAATCACTGGGGGCTGGGAAGGGGAGCCCAAGGAAGGAGGGCCAGGGAGACAGATGGACAGATAAACATAAAGAGACTCATACCCAAAAACCTATATTAAGGAAGCCGTGTAGGAGAAAAGAAAATTGAGAACACAGTCAGACACTTGCAAAGGAAAATCTGGGGGGTGGGGTTGAGCCTCCTGGTGAAGACAGATCCTACTGAGAAGGCAGTGCTGGAAAGGGTGTGGGGTACCCTGGGGCCAAGAGACAGGAAGGAATAAGACCTGCCAAGGAAGGTAACCTATGAGCTGCCTCTGGATCCTAAGTGAGACATGCATCAAGGCCCAGATCCCAGCTGAGGGACACTCCTACTCTTCCCTTCTAACAAACTTCACTGTGGCTCCTCTCAGCCTGAGCTAGCATCTTTGGTTTCAATAACTAGAGCTGACCCTCACTTGTACTTGCCCTCTACTGGGCCAGCACTAGGTGCCTCTCAGGAGCTGCCCAGGGTCCTTTCATCCCATACCAGAGGGGATTTAGTCCAGCCCAGGTAACTGTTCAAGAGCTGAGCTCCTATGTGCTCAAGTGCATTCCTTCATGTCCCATGCAGACCTGTCTTTCCTGGCCAATCCCCTGTGCCTGACTCCACATAGCTGAGTGCCACCCACACTGAAAATTTATATATATCTATGTATGTATTTATGACTTACCTCCTTTTAAACATTATTTCAAAGAGCTAAGTCATTACCCTACAAGGCCCACTTGGCTCAACTTCTATTTCCACCCAGAAGTCCCAGCCCATGAGAAGTAGGACTCATCACACCCTCTTTTGCTTAGTGAACTTCATTTTTCCTGACCACCAAAACACCTATCGCAATCCTTCTAATATTACCGTTGTTATTTGTCACCCAATGTCCCTCAGTGCCACTACTCTACCTACTATTCTAGGAGTGAGGAGAAGGGAAGGAAGAGATAGGAGAACAAAGAGTCTTCTCTCCAGGGAGGGCTATCTCCAAGCCCTTGGGAAGCCAGAGACCCATTCTGGACCCGAGGCATGGGAGGCAGAGGCAGGACACATACATATGTGGACCCATGTGCCTAGCTTTGAGTTCTAGTTCTACCAGCTGTGCTGTCTGGGGCAAGTCTCCCTGTGCCTCAGTATTCTTATCTGTTCATTGAGGCTAATAATTCCTGCCTTTCTGGGGCCAGACGAGATAGCAGAAACAAAGTCCAGATCAAGCACCTAACACACAGAAGATACCTGAGAAATGGAGCCTTTCAGCTCTAGCTGCTCTTCGGGGGAACCTGTGGTTACCTCCTCTACTCAAAAGGGAAACATGGTAGGGGAAAAAAAAATCCACCCAGGAACCAATTTAGCCAGAAGAAAAGGGCCATGACCATTCACACAGCTGATAGCTGAGTAAATCCAGCTTAGCTTGGAACCTCTGGAGATCAGAGTAAGGAAGCAGAGTAGCCAGGGGTCCCATTTGCTAGGCTTCTAATCTGCTCTCAGAAAACAAAAGAAGGCAGCAGAATTCTATAGCTCTGAGTACTGCCAAGCCCCTCCAGGTCCCTTTCAAGCTGTGAAATGATCTCAGGGAGCCCCAACTCTGTCCCAGTGGAACAGACCACGGGAAGGTGAGAACAGAACCGGCCTGCCCCCAGCTCAGGCCATGAACCAGACTGCAGTAGCAGCCTGCCCACAGTGAATGGAGCAAGGGTGATCATCCCTACTACAAGTCTTCCTGAATGGGCCAGCTGAAGGCCAGGCCAGTAGCTAGGCAACAGGCTCTCCTAATCAGCTCAGTTCACTTTCCGTTTGTGTCTGTTTTGCTCCTGTCACAAGGCACTAGTCAAATGACTGGACTGCTGTATAGGAAGAGATGCCTCAAGGCAGAGCACAACTCCTCTGCCCTCATGTACCCTCTTAGGTAATATCTGAAGTCTTTCCTGGTGCTGCAAACCCAGGGAAGTGGTGACTGAGTGGGAAGGTATGCATACATTCCCAGAGGTACAGGGCTCCTGTGAGGACAGGTCTACCTGCTTGAGGTCAATGCAGGAAGTAAGTGCAGCTCTAGAATTCCTGATATAGCTAGCACTGGGCCCTTGGGTCTTAAGGAGTAATAGGGCAAGTGTCCCTGTCTGATGTCCTCATCCGCTCCTGGGTTTCCAATGTTCTTCACAGGAGGTAGAGAACCTCTGGCTACTAAGCAGGTTGGGACAAGAAACTACCCACCTCTCCATCCTGCAAACAGCCTCATTCAGTGAGAAAAGAAAGCAGTAATCACAGGAGCACTGGCTTGGGCATCAGGAAGCTTTAATTCAAAGCCCTGCCACTAATGCTGTGATCTCAAGACAGTGGTTTACTTGTTCCCAACTTCAATCTGCTAAGTGGGCATAGCAGTCTTGTTTTTTTGTTTGTTTGTTTGTTAGTTTTGTTTTGTTTTTCGGTCTTTTTGAGACAGGGTCTCCCTGTAGTCCCAGCTGACCTGGAACTCACTATGTAGACCAGGCTGGCCTCAAACTCACAGAGATCTGCCTGCCTCTGCCTCCCACGTGCTGGGATTAAAGGTGTGTGCCACCACACCCAGCCCGTAGCAGTCTTGTTTTAGGTTCATTAGGAAGAGTAGAGATTAATGTAAAGTCTTCACAGTAAAGTGCCTGCACAAGATGCTCAAGGAAGAGCTGTTACCAATTTTTTAAATTATGTATTCCCAGGAGTAGCTAAAGATTTGCCTTTGCCTGTTTTCCTTAGCTGTAGGAAAATCTTTTGGTGTATGTGCCAGAGCTCTTCACATCTGTAACCAACAACGTAAAGGCTAGAAATGAAGGGTGGCTTGCTGGCTCTGCTATTACTTAAGTGTCTTTAGAAAGTCACATAACATCTCTGAATCCTGCTTCCTTCCCTGATTAAATGGGAGAATTAGTCCTGCCCTGCCCCACATTACAAACCACAACTGGAATGCCTGGGTTGATATGATCCATGTTTTAAAAGGGTAATGCATTTGGGGTCCCTGTAGGCCTCCAAGAGGCCAGGATCTGAGTTTCATTGCAAAGGCCTTTCACTGGGCCATTCTTCAGTGAGTTGAAGAGGAAAACTCATTGATAGTAGGGCCCCTTGTGATCCCATAGGAAAGACACCAAGCAGGTCAAAAGTCCCCAGAGACCCCAGAATGCTCAGAAATAGGGCCTAGCTCCCTCAAACCACCTCCTCTCATAACTGCCTCACTGGTTTGTCCCCTTTTTACCTCTTCTCTACACCTCCAACTCTAAAAGGGTCTCAATAACTTATGTCTATCTCTCTTTCCTAGTTAGACAAACTAAGGACCAATGCCAGCAGGGTTAATGAGCTCACAGCAAGAGGCTCATTGGCCAGAGGCATCACCGTGCCCTCACCTTCTTAGATGGTCACAGGGCTGCAAAGCACGAAACCAAAGCATCTGGGTAGGGAAGGGCAGGAGTTTGGAAAACCTGCCTTCCAGTGGCTACCTGGCATGCTATAGCCCCTGAGAGCCCCTCTCCTCCTCTGTCTTCCTTGCAGGTGACTCACTACCCTGGCTTGGCAGCCTAAGCCCTCACTCAACTGCATTCCTCAACCCCTTGCCTTCCCATGACTAGGATGAGGACCAGCCCATGGGATGTTAAGGAGAGGTGGAGAGCAGGAAAGCAAGGCTCTTAGGCTCATTAACATGACACCTTGGGATACCAAAGGTACCAATCAGCTCAGCTTCAGCTTCCAGAAGCAGACCCCAGACATAGCAAATCATACTGCTCTTCCCTATCTCCCAGAAAGACCCCAGCCAGGCTTAAAGCTAGGGCCATGAGATCAGACACTGGCCTTCAGGCTTTTCTATTTTTAAAGAATCTAAAGGCTCCTTCAGGGTTTTAGCTGCTCAAGCATAATGTGGTGAGTGAATGAGTCTCTATCACCCCTCTTACCTTCAAGGAAACCCCTCCTACCTTCAGAGCAGAGACTAGGTCTTACCTAAATCAACCTGATTCCCCCTTCCCCCATACACCCATTTCCATCGTAACCTGAACCAGGGCTTTCTGGGAAGTCACTTTGTGCTGCAGCAGGAAGAAAAGGAACAGCAATCTGGTATCATCACTAGGAAGCCTGTGGCTGGCCACTGCCCTGGGAGCCTGAAGGGCCTAAAACAAAGGCTTACTGTCTAAATCTCCACCACATCTCAGCAGAGGCCAGGCTACACAGGGGTGCAGGCCTTGGGACAGTCTAAAGAACTGGCCCTCAATCAGAAGAGGAGGTCTGGGCTCTAGACAGATCTGTCTCTAGGAGCTAGGCATTCTGGAACCCATGTCCCCCCTCTCTGAAATGCACAGCTGCCAGCACACAGAGCTGCTGGCAGGATGGAAAGAGGATATGGCATGGAATTGTTTAACACAAACCAGGATTTCCTACTCTTGGACCTGTCCCACTCCTGCAGGAAGCCGAATTCAAGCCCTCCAGGACTACAGACAGCCCTGTGGAAGGCAGCTGTGCTGACCAAAGAGCTAGAAAAGGCACGCTGAGGGCACCCCACTCACTGGGGGGCATGCAGCAGATCAGATAACTGGGATTGGGTTCAAGTAGTAAGTCAAGTGTGTGAAATCTCCTGATGGGCTGTGCAGGAGAGAAAGTCGGGGGGAGGGGGGTGTAATTCCCAAGAGCCCCTGGAGGGAGTTGGGAGGCAGACAGAATGATCTGCCAGGTATGTAGGTCTCCTTCCACTCCTCCTGGACCCTACCCATCAGCACCACCTTCAAGAACCACCTGGAGATGGAGATAGGGAGACAGGCTACCGCCACTCACCCTGGCTGCCCGAGAGGAGTAGGGATCCTCGAAGAGCGCCCACATTCGGGGCTGCCACCCACGGCAGCCCCCGGACCCGGCGCCCGGACCCGCGCCTCCTTCATGGGAGCCCAGGCGCTGCAAGGCCAGCTCCCGCTCATCATCGCCAACGTCGTCGCTGGGCCCTGCGCCGCCGCCGCCGCCGCCGCCGCCCCCGTCCGGGCTCTCGAAGATATCCAGTGCCTCTTCGGCGTCGCGGTGCTGCCGGTAGGTCATCCAGCAGCAGGGTTCCACGTCGGTCTCGTCGATGCCCCAAAAAGTGAGCTCTTCCTCGAAGAGGGGCCCACACACGTCGGCGGGGCAGTGCAGCTTGCCGGTGCGGTAGTAGTTGAGCACGTAGGCGAAGACACCCGGGTGCCGGTCGAAGAAGAACTCACAGCCCCCGCCGCCGCTGCTGCCGCTGCTGCCTGCACCGCCGCCATCCGGCTCCGGCCGGCCCCCGCCTTCGGGATCGGCCAGCCAGGCGAGGCGGGTGCCAGGTAGGGTGCGCAGGGTGCTGCGGTAGGTCTCATGTCGCGTGCCACCCACGTTGATGATGATCTTCTCCGACGCCTCGCCCTTGGCCATCTCCTCCTTCAGACATGTTTTGGACGGAGGCTTGTTCCCCGACTTGCGCCCGCGGTAGGAGGAGACACACACCGAGCTGATCATAAGAAGCGCTGCGGGGCTCCGGCTTGGGGCGGCCGCTGCCCTCCAAACACCCTTCCAGAGGAGGCAGCGTCAGACCGGGGAGGGGGAGGAGACCAGGAGGAGGAGGAGGTGGCAGGAGGCGGCAGCGGCCCCTTCGGCGGCGTGGGCCCTGCCCTTGCCTCCCCCCCAACCCCCGGGGGTGCCAAGCGGGAGGAGTTGGGTTTCTCGGGTGCACAGGTGGTTGGGATTTGGGGAGGCAGAGCCAGCGAGGGAGGAGGTGGGGACCAGAGCGGGAGATGCCAACGGGGGGTCCCGGGAATTAGGAGCTAACACACGGACGCCCTCCCGTTAGAAGGGGGGATGATGCACGGACACTCGGGGCCGGGGACACGCCCCCCAACCCCTGAGAGACCGAGAAGAGCACAGTCCCGGACGCCGCGAGGGTCCTCGGTGCGCGCGCGCTCACACTCACACTAGCCACCCTCCGGCTCCCAGACCGCGCCGAGCGGGAGAGCGGCCGGTTTCCCTGGGCGGCGGCGGCGGTGCAGCAGCAACAAGTCCTCCGAGAGGCTGCGGACGCCCGGCCGACGCTCTCACGATAGCCGGAGCTCTGCGGGCCCGGGCAGCGTGCGGTCAACACCAGGCGGTGGCGGCCGCATGTGGCCTCTTCCCCCCATTCATAAATCCAGCGCGGGGTTAGGGTGGCGGGCGGGGCCGAGCCGAGAGAGATGGACCGGCGGGCCGGGGCTGCGCAGGACCGGGCGGCAGCAGGAAAACAAGCACGCCCGCAGCAGCGAGCCCTGGTCCTGCGTCCGTGGCAGGGAGCTGCGCTGGGCTGGGCGCCGCGCTGCGGGGGCCGCGCCGGGACGGGGGGAGGGGGGGCTCAGACGGGGCGTCCTGCGCGCTGCTAAGCCTGGAGGGCGGGGCGGCTCCGGAGGGCAGGGCACCGGGTGGAGGCGGAGGAGTGCCCCGGGCGGCGGCCGAGTGGCCAAGGACACCTGCAGGCTTCCCGGGCCGCGCCGAATAGGAGCTTCAGCGCAGCGCCCCGGCGCCGGGTTCCTCCGATCTGGCGGCGCCGGGAGCCGCGCCATCTACGCGTCTGCCCATCTCCGGGCGGGGTGCCGGCCTTGGCTCGCGGCTAGGGGCGGGCGCGGGATGGTCTAGGGGAGGGAACGCTTGGGCGCCGGCGGAAAGGGGCTCCGAAGGCTCTGCGTCTCCCTCCCGCGATGGCAGCGTATGCGGCGCTCCACTGGCGCCTTTTCCTAGAGGCCCCGCCTGGCCTGGGTGCGCCCTCCGCGGGGCGGGGTTGGCGGGGCGCGGCACCCGACCCACTGGGTGCGATGCGGAGCTCGGGCGGCGGAGCCCAGCCTTCCTCCCCGCAGCCCAGCTCAGCCAAGGCGCGTAACCTGCTCGCCGCCAGTGCCCAGCCTAGCGCGCCGCCCCTGCGCGCCTCCGCCACCATCCCCTCTCGGCCCCACTCCCCGCCTCCTGTGAGTCCTCAGCTCCTCCCACTGCAGCCCTGGTGACACCCGTGAGCGCTCGACCCCTGACCTTTAACCTCTCTGAGCCTCTTCTTGCAGAACCCAACCTGTTTCTCCCTCTCGGTTAGGCCGGTCGCATTGTTGCGGTTTCCCTGCTTCATTGCGGCTGACGGGAGGCCAGGATTGAAGAGAGTGCAGAGATGATGCCTCCAAGAAGACACTGCCCTCTCCTCCCCCAGAGACAGTGTTGGGTCCTTCTGACAACCTTTTGGTTACCCCCCCCCCCGCCATCCTGTGCCTTGGAGGCCCTTGGCCTTGATGTTTATGGTCTCTGCCACAGTCACCTCAGCGCATGGAACGAGGACAGCATGGCCTTTGGTGGGGAAATGCTTCTGATTTAGGTGGGGGGAAGTTCTTAGCCTGCTGCTGTCCGTGGAGAAATGTGTTAGGGGTGTAGAACGGTGACCCTGAAGATCATCAGGCTACAGCTCTGGCTTGCTGTTGTCTTGGAGGGGACATAGGAAGTGCTCCATCCTGCCTTTTGACACTCCACGGTCCTCTTGCTGCCCCATTCTTTCCTGTTTGTCTTTTTCTGTGGTTCTGTCTCTTCTCCCTGACCCTGGGCTCCTCCTGATTGCACTGTGCTTTCATCTCGATAGTACCCACAGTGCCTGCCTCTGAAGACCCATTGGCTATGTGATTGAGAAGCTTCCATCTCTGAAATATCAGGCACCAACTGGACTCCTCTCGCCTTAGCCCAAGAGCAATTTCCAGGTTCATTTGTTTTTTTTAAGCCAGAAACACTCCTACATCATTAATATTCTTTCTCTCTCCCTCTTATCCCCTCCCTCTCTGCTTTAGGCACTCTGGTATAAAGATTTTTAAAACAGAAATGCAGGGTGACTGACGCATCTTACCTGATACTACTGATACCATCTGATTTCTGGATGAGGCAGCACCTAACCATACTGGAAAAAAAAAACCAAAAAAAAAACACTAGGGCTTTCCTGTGCTTCCAAAAGAGGTAAAAATCCAACATAAATGGAAGGCATTTTTATAAGCAAAGATCTCATCATTAATGAGGTAAAAAAAAACAAAATGACGAAGAATTTTGATGATCTGTACTAATATGCAGGGGAGGTGGTTACCAGCATTCTGACTGTAGTTAGAAGCGCACATTTGCTGGCATCCTCTTTGTGTCCACCTCCCCGCCTTAGACCTGATGTCTGTATTCCAGAGTTCAGTTGGCTTGAAGTTTGCTCCAGTGAAAAGAAATATTCCAAATACGATTGGGAAAAGAAGACTCAGGGCTGGGGAAGGAAGAGTCAGGACTGGCCAGAGAAGGAGTGAGGAAGGAAGAACCACCAAGAGGATATGAAAGAATTGACAGTAATGATGACTATAAAGTTCTGTTTGGACTGGGTCCTGGAGAGCCCCTTGAAATCGCTCCTCATTTTCCATTCTTCGGGCAGAGACAAGGAAGAAGTTGATGGGGCTGGTGTAGGTGAGGGGAAAACATATCACAGCATCGCACACTTGCTTCATTTATCCCTTTACTATCATGGAACACCTACAACCTTCCAGAAGCTGTTCTAGACACTGAAGACACATCTGTGAATAAAACAGCCCTGGGAAACCTCTGTCCAGTCTGTGCTCCATTCTGTAATGCTGGTCAGATGATGAACACCTGACACCTGAGGAGAATGAAGGGATGGAGGGAGAACCTTGCTTGGTGGTGGAGGCGAGGGAGGGGGGGTGAGCCAGGGAATCCTAGGAAGAGTTGAGCAAAACAGGTATCTTGGTAGAGATATGTTAGGAGGAGGGCACCTGGCCAGCTCCTGGAGAGGGAGGAGGGCTACAGCCTCAGTTCAGAAGCCTCTAGAGAAGGCCTCTGTACTAACCTGTTCCCTGAGCCTTTCTGGAGAACAAGTGTGCTAAATTGGCATCATGGGGCTTACCTCCATCAGCTCTGTGTGAAGTCATGGTATTCCCTTCCAAAAACACACAACCCAGGAAGGAGAGGCAGGCCCCCTGCCCTACTGTGGTGGGCAGGTGCTGCCCTCTGGTGGTGATGGGACTAGTTAAGGACCTGATCCTCACAGCTCCAGGTTGTTTGGTAAGCCGGAAATGGACTGCTTGCTCTTGGTCCCCAGTGGCAACTAATTCAGGGTTTCCTATTGATGCCAAAACCTCAGGTGTTAGCCTCAGCCTAACATTCCCATCCAATTTATTGCCCACTATCCCTCTTCTCCATTCCCCAAGGCCCTGACAACAATCAGACCTAAGCAAGACCACCAGCAGCCCCAGCTGGAAATGTCTATTTTCCCAAGCTTCTCCCCATCCCCTTTGCCTTTTCTCTACTTTTCTCTCCTGGGAGCCCTGTTTCTTTTGGCTATAGGCAAGAGTATCTGGAGCGAGTTCACACTATGGTAGCAGCTGTAGTGGGTTTCCTAGCCAGGATGAGGGGCACAGCCAAAGAACAGTAGAAGGTGATGCTTAATTCTGGAATGCTGCTGATGGAGCCTATGGGGCTTCCCACACCCTTTCCAGGGCTCTCAAGACCCTTGCTGTCTGCTGAGGCTGGTTCTGCCAGAGGGAAGCTGAAAGCCTGAAATCAAAGCCATTTACACTTCCACCTTCCTCACTGGGGGCACTGTGGGGTCAGCCTTTTTGAGGTGACAGGTACTCTTTGATTTATCTACATTCCTTCATTGGGCTCCCTTGCTCTAAGGGGCTCCAAGCCAAGGTGCTGACCCATGGTTGTCAGGGCATTGGTACATCTCCCTTTTGGCATTCCAGCTTCTGCCAGGGACCAACCCCTTTTTCTTTAAGTCAGACCAAGGAGCCAGCATCCTTTCCCAGCATGCCCTGCTCTCTCACTCAGCAAATTGAATTGCTTTATCAGACCTCATCACCAGGGACACCAGATAGGCCTTTCCCTCAAAGAAGGATGAGAAGGCTGGGAACCTATCTGCTCATCAGCTCATTTTATCCTCCAACTCTCACCCCCAGGGAGTGTTCAGAGACTTTGGGGCTCCATGCGAGAGCTGTCCCTGTCCAAATGAGCCTAAGACAACAGTTCAGAGTACTCCAGGCCATGCACATAGACATCAGCTTAAATGGTTCTGATAAGGACTACAGGGAGGGTTGGGCTGCTTTGAAAATCTAAGTCAAGTTTTTGGGGGCTCTAGGGGAACTCTAAGATATTGTTTAAGAGATGATGGCACATCTCTTAAAAAGAAGAGATCAGAAGGGTGCAGACCACAAGCTCAGGCTGGGCTAGAATTAGGACCTCGGGCTGGAGAGATGGCTCAGTGGTTAAGAGCGCTGACTGCTCTTGCAGAGGCCTAGGTTCGATTCCCAGCACCCACATGGCAGCTAACAACCATCCATAACTCCAGTTCTTCTGACCTCCATGGGCATTGTACAACACAGGTGCACTTACACACATGTAGGCAATATATTTATACAAAAATAACTACAAAAAAAAAGAATTCAGGGCCTCATAAACCATGGCTTATGGCTGAAAGAGACCTGGGTGCAACCTCATAGGCATGTTCCTGTTGAGGGATTTCAGGCCTATGTAGCAGTTGGGAACCTTGCAGACAAAGCCACATTGGGAATTAAGCCAGTCACAGAAAAAATGGAGGCCCATGTGGCCTCCACACGTAGAACAGTGTTTATCAGCTAAGTGGACACCCCCCATCTCCAAGACCTTTTTACTCAAGGTTTTTTGGCTGATAATTCTGGGCTCAGTTGGCTAAACTTCTTGGCATTCAGCATTTCTCCATCTAGAAAAGAACAGATTCCTTCCACCTGGGATAAGTTCCAGCAAACCAGGTTCATTCCATTAGAGTAATTAATTAGTCCTGATGGACCTGATCCCCTCCAGCAGTGTCCTGAGGAAAAGTGGGCAGCAGTCTGGAGAGGCAGCTCAAATTCAAGCTCTTCTTGGGTAGTCATGAAACCCAAGGATCCCTCCCTGCTTAGATCAGCCCTGGACACAAGGAAGATAAGAATCCTGTGAGCTTAGACCCCGGGAGCCTGAAGATAGAACACAGGAGTCTGCTCTGCAGCTGGTGCTATGTCTGCATGAAATAATCTTAATAATAGTTTCTTGTTGAATGACCAAGGCTTCCCCCATCCCCCATGTTCCTTCCCACATAAACCAGTGTACTCAGCACCAGTGGGAGGTAGATAGTCCAAGTCACATTGTGTCTGCCTCTACAAGACAAACCCCTGCATGACCTGAGCCTTTATGTACATTCCCAGTGTTTAGGCACTCTGAATATTTGCTTGATGCTTAATGAAAGGAATTAATGAAGGAAAGCTATATGTGGGAGAGGGTTGGGATCCTTCCTGTCAATGTCATGCAGTGTGGTAAAGCTATGCTGGATTGGGAATCAGGAAACCAGGCTTTTGTCAGTTTCTCCCCTGCTTTGCTGCAGGCATTCTCCCTGGTCTCTGTTTCCTCAGCTGTTATATGAGGCGATTGGGTCAGATCATCACTCAGATTCATTTACTGGTTATTTGTACTGTGAAACAAAATTGCCCCCAAAGTAGTGAAAAATTCAACAGCCATCTTCTTTCATTCATGATTTTATGGGCCAGGAAGTTAGGAAAGGCTCAATTGAGCAACTCTTGCTTAGAGTTCCTCAGGCAGCGGCAGTCATATGTCCATTGGTACTGTAAACACCTGAGGCTCAGCTAGGCTGAACATTCAATATGGCACATTCCTGTGGCTGGTGGTGGACACTGGCTATGGGCTGGGAGCTCAGCTGACACTGTCATCAGAAGCACTTTCAAACATACAGCTTCTAGCCCTGCAGTCTCAGGTGATGGAACTACCTCACACAGCAGCTGACTTCTTCCAGAACCATGATCCCTAGAACACCATGTGGAAGTGGCACTGCCCTTGTTGATATGATCTTGGAATTCACATAGCCTCACTTCCTCCATATTCTATTGGTCAAAAGAGGGATTTGCTCACTCAGGTTCAAGAGGAGAGGTAGAGAATCTTCTTAATGGAGAAAGGTTAAAGAATGCAGAACCTTTGAAAATTTACTAGCAAACTACCACATTCCTAAGGTTTATGAAATTCTTCAGCATAAGGCCCTGTGACTAGGGCTGGATGAGACTGTGTGCCTGACTGTGGCTGTGGAGTCGGGTGGGGACAGGACAATGTACAGGATTACTGAGCACCCACTTCTCTGGAAAGGGGTCCTTCTTTTCCTCCTTTCTTGATGTCTTCCAGTATTAAGCTGAGACTGTCTTTTGAAAATAGTTCTAGGAAGCTGATTCATTGCATGGGTGATGGGGTCCTCCAGGTGAAAGAAGGCCCATGGTCCTACCAAGGATTTTAAGAGAGGAGAGAGTAATATTTAATAAGCATGAATTAGCTCCACATATGGACAAATTTTCTATGCTCTATTCCACCAGGTACACTGGGAATTCGTTTATTCCTCCCAATACCCCGAGGAAGAGATTTTATTATCATGCAGGTTCAGAGGGTTAAGTGGCCTGCCCAAGGTTGGTGACAGACTCATGATTCAAACTACCTCATACTGCCTGCTCCTGGGGCTACCATGAGGCAGAAGCTGTCTCTCATGACCTTCTGTAAGTCCTTCTTATCGTCCTCCTTGTCTGTTCCTTTCACCCAGGGCCCAGATTTAGCTGCTCACCTCCTCATCAGAATGGATTCATTGTGTGTCCCAGGTCAGTGTTTCTAAGCTGATATTCCCTCAGGAGAAGGTTTCCACACAGATGCCAAAGATGGATGAAGGAGACATCTAACACTCCAGAACATGATTATTATATGGGCATCCCTCTTCCAATCTATAGTGCGGTCTGTGTGCCCTCTGAACAGAAGCTATGACCCAGAGAATATGGAGATGATACCGTGCCATTTTTCAAGCCAAGGCCTTAAGAAATGGGCAGCTTCTGGCTTCCATTTCCTGACTCTTGAAGTGGTCTCTTGGGTACCCTGAGCCACCGGTAACAAGTCTGGCCACAAGAAATGAACTGTGCTGGAAAGGCCACTTACTGAAGGTCACTCCAACCAACCGACCCAGCTGAACCCCAGTCCTGGCCATTCACTGAGGCGCCAGATATTACAATTGATATAAGGGAAGCCTCTCTTGGGCCCTGCAGACCAATTCTTCTGCCAGCTAAATACCACCTCAGTTCCCACCAAAGAATTACCCGTTCAATCCCCACCTGGACTTCTCATTCACAAAATCAGATGGTAATAAAATGGTTGTTTTAAGCTGCTAAGATTTGGGCTGGCTTGGAAACAGCAAGAGATAATTAGACCAATGAGTGTTATCTCATTTAATATCGTTGCTCTCTCCCATTTGAAAACTAGGAAAACTAGGCTCAAGGAGATTAAATAGTTTGCCTAAGGTCTCTCAGGAAACACAAGGCCCGGTTGACATTTGAACTTAAACTTGACCTTGGGGAGTCTGGCTTCAGAGCTCCCTTGCAGTGAGGCCCTTATTATACTGAGGTTTAGTGTGTCTATGTGCCACTCCTAGAAGGAAGGCTCTAGCATTTCAACCAAAATTACCTTCAGCCAAAAGATTGTGAATGACTGTATAAAAGCGCTCAGTTCTAGCACTGGGACATTCCCCTGTTTGAGAAGTGGGGAGATTGAGTGTTACATGTTCTTTCCTTGACAATTGGGGGCTGACTTACCTGTCTGTGGGTGTTTCTGGCTACCATATCTGTTCAATGAATACCCTGCAGAGTAAGTGGCAGAGTGAGAAAAGAGATTCCACAGACTAAAATCTGGACAGAAAAGGGGTTCCCGCCACCTGCTGGCTGCTCCTGGAACAACACTTTCTTCTGGGTGGCAGAGGAAGAAAATGGAGAGCTCCTTTGGGGAACCTGTTGAGTGTGCCAGAGATCATTCAGCATCGGCCCAGGTTGAGGTAGAGTGGAAGTGAGGCTGTTCTGATGACTGTGCTCCTAAGGGAGGCAGGAAGAGGGGCTTCCCTGCCACCACCTCAGCCTGCTCTTTGTGGTCTTGCATTCAGTGGGTGCTTTTTAAATAAAAACTTGGGACTGAATTTTGAGAAATTAGGTGGGTATCATCTCCTGTATTTTACTTTTACTTTCCACTGAAGATTACAAAAGAGATAGCTAACCCAAAATGAGTGAAAGGTGACGTTCTCGGAACTTGGAACATGGCTTGCTGTGGGCCAGCTCACCACCCCAGCATCCAGTCCCTTGCTTTCCCTGTGTTCCCTCTCAGACCTCTAGACACTGGCAGCCTCCCACCTTCAGTACCCTATCCTTGCAGAGTGGAAAGATATAGCTTTTCCTGAAGCCAGGCAGGATAGGAATAACCCTTGAAAATATTGGAAGAGGACACCAAACACATCCTCACATGAGACGGAGCTTCCTTTTCCTAACCTGGAAATATGTAGAGCAAAGCACCTCCCTCAAGAAAGAGTTCAGATGTGCAGAGTTGCTGGACCATAGTAAGACTACCAACAGTACATCATTCTTAATACCTAGGGCAACTTCTAGAAAAATAACTATATGTCCATCCCAAAATCCCTCAGTCAGCCAGCCAACACCCACAGAATCCTGCCCTTACCCCATCCCAAGCCAAGTTTTGCAACAAAACTTCCCTTAGGATGCCCGGCTCCCCTCCCTCCTTCCCCCTGATCTACAGAACACATAAGAAAGGCGAGAGGATGGTTAAGAAGACACTTTATTGTACACCAGGGTAGGGGAGATGAAAGAGAGGCTCTGGGGTAACAATGCCTTATCCACTCCATTGGGCTGAGTGGTCCCGACCCAGAGCTCTGAGCAGCCATGGGACACAAGGATGTGAACAGTTCTGAACCTGCGACAGGACCTAAAGTGACTGCCTGGTGTGTGTGTGTGTGTGTGTGTGTGTGTGTGTGTGTGTGTGTGTGTGTGTGTGTGTGTGTGTGTGTTTAGTTCTGTACAAAGCAGGGCTTCTCATGAGAAAAGACCCTGGACCCTCCTTCCCCAGCCCTAGTACACAAGGTAGCAGCCTCCACATTACAGGACCCAGGGTCACACAGCGAATCAGGTGCATTACAATCTGTTCAGTCTCACTGTTTCCACAGTGGAGCATATTGTGGTGGGGGATGCATATCTGTGAGGAAGGGTAGAAGGGCAGTCCCCAGCCTGGTAATACTGTGGACCTGCACGGGGACTGGCTTACAGCCTCAGGGCCTACACAGGCTCACTCTGGAGGGTTTTTTCGGGCACTAAAAAAGCAGCAGTTCCTGCAGATTTATTGCTGGAGGGCAGAAGCCAACCTTACCTGCTTTACCTTCTGGCTTCAGGCTTCATGTAGCCTTAGTAGAGAGGGCTGAAGGCTCCCTGAGCAAGAAGCTGGTGATTGGGGCTAGGTACAGCAGAGCAGGGAAGTCTTATAGTCTCTGCTCTGCTCCAACTAATTGACCCACAGCCCCAGAAGTCCTTTGCTTCCTGGTGGGCACTGCATGGACAGCACCAAAGCCAGTGGCCATGGGGACCCCATGCAAGGACTTGGGCCTGGCCCTTACTGGCCACTTCCTGCAACTTTAAGGCTGCATCTCAGCTAGTCAGATGATTTCACTATGACTCTCCTGAGGAGCCAGCAGAGAGCTTAGAGACACAGTTGGAACATTTGTTGCTTTCTGAGCAGTTAGGACTGTTTCAGGGACAAATACATGACAGAAAGGCTGAGAGATGCCCTCCTCAGGATTCACCATCCTAAGAAACCCAGGACTTTGTCTACTGAAGAGCCTGTGACTCCAGTGTGAACAACAGAAGGTTGATTGCAAAAAAAAAATTGGGATTTTTTTCTGCATCTGAGGCCCTCCTTCCCATCAAAGGTGTGATGACAGTGAGTCACCAGCAGGAAACATATCCCTTTCCCTACAGCTGGAGCTTCTTACAGACACCTGCCCTGAGGCCTCACCCACAGAGCTGAGAGAAGATGGGGTCTTAGGAAGGTGGTGAACACTGAGGGAGGGGGTCACAAATCAGCACCCAGTGCACTCATACCCACATATGTGCAACACACACACACACACACACACACGCACACACACACGCACACAGAGCTCTGGACCCTATGATCAACACACAACAAAGATGCAGCCAGGACAGGGTCCGGCCTACAGTGAAAGGCTACAAGAAACACTACAGAGCACACAATGCAAAAGCAGACAGCCCCAGTTCAACCCCCTCCCCACCCCCTGCAGGCTTGCAGGCTGGGGCCTGGCCCAGCCACGCTACAAAATTAAAAATATATCAAATATACAATGAAAATAGATCTGTACAGCACTGAGGATGAAAATAGTCCACCAGCCACAGTATAATATTGGGTTTGTCATTTCACAGCATTTACACCCACATGTACAGATTGAATGTACAATAGAAATAGCATATATAGAGCATAGATAGTGGATATCCCTCCTGGGGCCTGGTTTTCCTGTTTTCTAATTCTGCTTGGGACCAGGCATGGGGCCAGGTAGGAGGTGTTATCAGGTGAGGGGGCCAATTGCAGGATGCTCTGCCCTAAAAACTCATCTCTGTAGGGAGAGATGGGCTCCCTTTCACCTCAAACACTAGGACAGGTGGAATCAAGAGGGCTAGAAGTCAGAGAAGGTATGGGGAACCCAGCAGAAAGGGAGATGGAAGGCTGAGAGGGTGGACCTCAGGCTAGGAGACAGGTTAACAGTAGGCATGGGGTAAAAGAGGGGACCTGGGCTTAATCTGTCCCTGTCTGTACTGAGGGAAGTCAGGGCCACAAAAATGACTTGGGACCCTCTGAAAGGTACCCAGGTCTGTCCCTTCCCACAAGAGCTTTCAAAGATAGGAGCCAGTCCACCCACCCACCTACCAACTCACCCAGCCATCTAGCCAGCCATCTCTCTGCAGACATTCTCAGGGCAGCTTCTGAGTCCTCATAGGCTTTGTGAGAACAGCCTATCTCCTGGGGGGAAGGAAGGACAACGGATGCTGCCATACCCTTGGGGCCTCAGGACAGAGGCTCTGCTTTGCCTTTGGCAGCCTCCAGTGTCCACAGCATTGCCTGTGGCACGGCTCTCTGCAGGCTAGGGAAGCTTGGGAATGGTTTCCAAGATGTCTGCACACAATGTGTGCACTGGTGGCTGTGCTTGTGCAACAAAGGAGAGCAAGTGGCAGCCCAAATGGGCAGTGGAATTACCTGTCCTTCCCTAGGAATGAGGTTTCCTGGTGACATGCCCCTGAACTCCAGGGACCCTCGTTCTAGGGGAGAAGCTACCACTGATGAGAATGAGAAAATCGGGCCCCAAATAAGGGGAGGGAAAAGTGTGCTTCACTTGTGCTCTAAACCATCTAAATTGTGCTGAGAACCATCAAGTTGTGCTCTAGAAACCTTACCTTGTACTGCCCCCTTTCTCTCTCCAGGAAAGAGGCAAAGGCCACTGCCCTTGGCTTCAAGTTGAGTGGAGGGAACTAAGAAATGGCTAAACCCTTGCTGAGATGGGGAGGTTCTGAGCCAGTGACCATGTTCCCCAGGCAGGATCAGGACCATACCTCCACCTGCCCCTGGAAGGGGAAGGAAGGACATTCAAAGATTCCATGTGCTGGCTGCACATCCCTTTCACTGCCAAGGTTCATGCTCAAGCCCAAGGTAACACCTACCTCACAAAAGAGAATTTGGGAATTACGGTACACCTCCTGCCAAGTCAAAGTCCTGAGTCTTGACATACCTGTCCCTACCCCCATCAGGTAACCTCTTAGCTCAGAAGCAGCCAGGCTGGACTGGACAGGATGATGAGCCTTGTTCTTATGGCAGACTGGGCCGAAGTCTGCCTCCTACACCTCTAGTCCTCATGCCTCTCACCACCATCACCACCACTACTCAGCTGCACAAAGCAGACCCTTCCCCAGACCTAAGATCTGTAGGTGGCAGGTTAGAGGGAGAGGGAGTGGTGACTACTAAAGTGTCCACTTGTAGTTCCCCCATCCTGGAATTGTTCTGGTTACATGGCTGCAATTTGGTGAGAGGTTTTCAAAAAGTTACTTGAGTTGGAGGTCTGGAATAGGGGACAGAATTGTCCCCAGCCCCCTGCTCATGGATAGGAAGAGAGTCTGCTGAGACTTGGGTAAGGAATGAGGCAAGGCAGACCCTCTCTCCTTAGACAGAGGGCCTGGCCTGGGTCTGGTGGTCATCATGGAGGAAGAGGCCAGGCCCAGACAAGTGGGCAGGTTGGGCGTGGGGGGAAGGCAGGCAGGGAGGGGCAGTGGTCACAGCTCTGACTCAGGGGTACTGGCCAGGAGGTAGCCACTTCCATAGCGTCCATTAGGATTGCCACTAGACTCCAGAGGTGATGTGCTGCCAGGTCCCAGATAGGAGCGGTGGGTGGGCATGGGGGAGGGTGCCTCACTGGGCACCTTGCTGAGGATGAAGCGGGTCTCATCATTCTCCTCCAAGTTGGAGATGTCCTTCATCATACGGCCCTTCTTGTAGGACACAGAGAGGGTGTTGGAGCCATCAGAGAGCAGGCGAAAGTGCCGTAGGATGAACACCACAGGAATGGGCAGGGTTGCCACAGCGATGAGAGTGATCAGCAGTGCCATGGCCCAGTTGGGGAAGTACAGGTAGCGCTCAGCAGCCTGGGGGTGGAAGGCAGGAAGGCTTCTTAGGGCACCAGACAGTGCCCCTCCCCAGGCCTAGATGGCCTTTCCCTGCCCTTGCCTATAGCCTTCCCTCCTCCCCTCTCCACCCCAGCCAGGCAGCAGTAGAGCTGGCAGCCCCCAGGGGTGCTACTTGAATTTAGCTAGTCACTTTGGTTAAGGGATCGCAGTTTCTACACCTGTAGACGGGACAGGTGATTCCACTCAATAGACATGGAAAGAGACTATGGCTTGGAAAGCCTAGCAAGTATGCTATTCTTGTTGAGCCTCATTTCCTCACTAATAGTATTAGAAATAAACCCACTTAAGTTGTAAAGAGTATACACTAGGAATGCAAGGCACCTGGCCAAGCTTATCACAGAGTAGCTGCCCAGCAAAGGTTTATCCCAATTGCGTGTTGTGTTAAAGGCCTGAGAGGAGGCAAGTGACCCTGGAGTTTGTGAGGTCCACAACTCACCTCCTCCTTAATCCAGGCGCTGTAGCCTGGGGGTGTCACCCCCAGCTGGATGATGCTGGCTGTGGTGAGCACAGCCATGCACAGTGGAGATACGAACTTCCACATGTAGAAATAGAAACGGTAGGGTCGGAAGCCCAGCATTTCTGTCAGCTCCTGCATGAACCTGCAGGCATAGCAGAAGACACAGCAGTTGGCACCATATCACTGTGCCTTCCTGTTTCCTTATAGCTCCCTCCTCCTGATCAGTCCCTTCTGCTGGTCTTTGCCTTCAGTGTTAACCACGTGAGGCCCCAATGGCCTCCAAAAGGCTCTGTTCTGACTATCCCACACAATACTCCAACAAGGATAAGAAACAGTCCATCAGAAGGGCCCTGGGCAGGAAGACAGGCACTAGAAAGCTATGTTTTCAGAGCCCTCAGCCTCTTCCCAAAGGCCTGGCTCAAGCCTCCCCCTGCTGGAGAAAAGGCAGCACTGCATCTCCCTAGCATTGGAAGGAGGACGCTGCCAAGACCCAAAGGTTCCTAACCCAATGTCTGTGCTAGAATTCCAAGAGGTAGCAGGCTGTGGTTTTGAAAGGCATACAAAACTCATTACCTCAATTAGATTAACTGAACTCTAGCATTCTTTCTAATACAAATGCAAACAACCATAGGACTGTTAATACCTGAGACTTTGTCATGAATAGATTAAATCAGATTTTTTCATATCACATGCCAGTTGTTGAAGATACCTAAAACATTTATATTCATCACTGCTTTGAAATTACAGTTGCTACTAGATCCATAGCTAGATCTTATAACAATGCTGTAAAAATAAACATTACTACTTAACAGATTAAACAATATTTTGTCAGTTTTCAATAAAATTAGTTTCTTATATAATTATCACCTTTTATCTTCTGCATTTAAAAATGGTATTTTGAGGGACTGGAGAGATGGCTCAGTGGTTAAGAACACTGGTTGTTCTTGCAGAAGAACCGGGTTCGAATCCCAGCACCCACATGGCAGCTAACAACTGTCCTATCCAGTGCCAGGGGATCCAACAGCCTTTTCTGACCTCCGTGGGCATTGCACGACATGGGTTCAATTACCTACATTCATGCAATACACTCATACACATAAAATAAAAGTAATAAAGTTTAAAAAAGAAAAAAAGAAATGTCAGTGAGGGAAAGTGTCTTCATGCCCCATATGGATCTAGTAACCCCTGTGTTTTACACTGCAGTATTTAAATTGCAGCATGCCATGTATACAAAATTAATAAA